CTAGAGTGTCTTGCAGAAAAGATCTCTCTACTTAAGTCACATTAGATTTGAGGGAATAATTGACCGTTTTAGCCCTCTGTTAAGCCCACCAACCTGTTTCTTAGTGGGTTTGAACCCAATGCTCACTTCAAATAAAACTCAAATCCGCTTTAGTTCTCTGGATGCAGGGGATCCCTCTACTCCTGGGGACCAGCGGATCCCAGCTCCTCTCTTCCCTCTCTTCCTCCCAATCCAAACCCTAGGGGGACAAAGACAAAATTTAGCCCTATACTGGGATCCCAAATTGAGAATTGATCTTTCAGGTTTGAGCTTTATCACTCTTTCTCTTGGATTTCATGTACAATTTTGGTTCCTTGAGCTCCTGCGCATCGATTCTTATTTAGTAGAATGACTTTCATCATTGCAAACTTTACTGGAATGCAATCTATAATCTGTGTGTTTGATCTGATGAACGGCGTGTAATTTAGTTAAAAAGTTTTTAAATTTACAAGCCCAAATTGACCCTTGTTTTTAAAGCGAAAAACCTGATATAAATGAGCCTCTTTGATCGTCAGTATCAGTCGGAGACTAAGAATTTACTTTAGCATGGACAGCAACGTGAGAGAAGTGTGAAGTTGAAGAGAACCAATACATTTAAAATGAAAGATAGGACGGTTACAAATTTAATTAGGATCGAAACCTGTCGAACTTTAGTCGGGGATGAGCATTTCTGAAGAGTTCTATGATTTCAGAGAACACAGTTGCATGTGTTTTTCTGCACTTAACTTGGTGATAGCTGTACTTACATCTTGAAGCTTTTCTAAGGTTCACCCCCATACTTATCATCAGTTGAAGCATTTACGTGTTGGTACAAAGTACAATTTTACTTCAAATACATTGAGCCATCAATTTTGGAGCTAATGGTTGCTAAATCGTATTAAATTAATAGGAAACAATGGCAGAAGTAGAACACATGGACGTTGAGAAACCGGGATGCTCTCCAAGAGTAGATATGTTTTTTGACAGTGAAAATGAGGCATATGAATTCTACCGCACGTATGCTGAAAATACAGGATTCTTCATTAGAAAATCAAGACAATGGACTACTTCCAAAAACATTATCACAAGAAGAACTTTTGTGTGCTTTAAACAAGGCTTCAAAGAGAAAAGGAAACGAGTAAAGGAGTCCTTATGCCCACGTCCTGAAATAAGAACCGGTTGTGGAGCTTGCATGACCATCAGACTCACTCCCAATGGAAGATATAAAGTAACAGAGTTTGAGTCCAGTCACAATCACATGCTCGAAACGCTATCAAGAATTAACATTATGAAGTTGAAGAGGATGAAGCGAAAACCTTGTGCCATTAGAGCTGACCTCGTGGATGAGACTGTGAATACACCAGAATTTGACACGGAGGAAGAGGCCTATGAGTTCTATAACATGTATGCTGGAAAAGTAGGATTTACTGTAAGAAAAGCGAAAACAACGGTGGGTCCTGATAACGTTGTCACAAAACGGGTATTCGTGTGTTCAAGACAAGGTTTTCCAGAGAATAGGAAGGAATGCAAGAGAGTAATTCGTCCACACACGAGAATAGGTTGTCCTGCTTGTATGATAATCAAAATAGCACCTAATGGGAAGTATCATGTATCGGTGTTTGTTACCCGACATAATCATCAGTTGGCAAGTCCTGCATCAGAGGAATTGATAATTTCCGATAGTGCTGAAGCAGATGACACATTTATTACACGGGCTTTCACTGATAACTCTTCTCAGGGAACAGACCAACCGGAAACTGATTTAGTAGTTGCTGAGGGTACTAAGATTTATCCTCAAATCGGTCATATGAAAGATGTCCAGATTGGAGATATAGGGGCTACATTGGAATATCTACAGAAAATGCAGGATAAAGACCCTTCATTCTTTTATGCTTTGCAGGTTGGTGAAAATGATGCTATGACCAACTTTTTTTGGGCAGATGCAAAGTCTGTGATGGATTTTACCTACTTTGGCGATTCGATTTGTTTGGACACAAGTTACAAAATGTTTGGCTATGGCAGGCCGCTTATACAATTCATTGGTGTGAATCACCACAATCAGGAGGTACTTTTTGGCTCAGCATTCTTATATGATGACAGTACGAAATCTTTGAAATGGTTGTTTGAGGTGTTCAGGATGGCAATGAGCAGTAAACAACCAAAAACAATATTCACTGATCGGTCTGTTGCAATTAATGAGGCATTAGCTATGGTATGGCCTAGTGCAGATCATCGGTACTGCTTATGGCAGATTTACCAAAATGCCAGCAAGAAACTAGGTCTAGCATTTCAAGGGTCAAAAACCTTATTGCTTGAATTCAGCAGATGCATCTTTGATTATCATCATGAAAGAGAATTCACTTCGGCATGGACATCAATGTTAGAAAAGTATGAACTCAAAGATAACCTATGGTTGGCTAAGCTGTTTGAGGAAAGGGAGAAGTGGGCTTTGGCTTATGGGCGGCATGCATTTCAAGCAGATTTAAAGGGCACTCAACAGAAGGAAACCTTAATTTGTGAGTTAAAGAAACATTTAAGCCTGGAAACTGATCTCTTGTGCTTTTTCGTACATTATGATAGGATATTTAATGAGCGACGACATGCTGAAATACAAAGCAATGTCCATGCCCATCCAAATAACCCGAAATTTCCTTCTGTGCGTGTACTAAAACAAGCTGCTAGCTCATATACACATGCTGCCTTTGAAATATTCGAGAAAGAATTCCACTTGTATATGGATTGAAGCTGCTAGCTCATATACACATGCTGCCTTTGAAATATTCGAGAAAGAATTCCACTTGTATATGGATTGTGTATTGTACAATTGCGGCACATGCTGCCTTTGAAATATTCGAGAAAGAATTCCACTTGTATATGGATTGTGTATTGTACAATTGCGGTGAGGTTGGCACAATGTCTGAGTACAAAGTTACTACTGAGGAAGGAGTTAAAGATCACTTTGTTAAATTCGACTCCTCAGACCTTTCTGCCTCATGCACTTGCAAAATGTTCGAGTTTGTGGGAATCCTATGTCATCATGTGTTAAAAGTACTAGATTCGAGAAATATAAAAGATTTGCCGCAACAATACATCTTGAAGAGGTGGAGGAAAGACGTCAAAGGTGGAATAAGTGGCGATCGTATGGAATTGACTGAGGATGACACTCGATCGTTTCGAGCACAAAGATATAGTCATTTGTGTCGCGTCTTTAGTATAGCTGCAGCAAGGGCTTCAAAAACTATAGATTCTTATACATTCCTTGAAAGCCAATCACATGTATTGATAGATCAGGTGGAGAAAATATTGAGCTGAGTAAAAAGATCTCTTTTCTGTGAACCATTTGATTGTACACTTTGCTTCATATTCAAATAAGTACATGGTGTTTGAGTGAAATTGCATCTCTTATGAAATGGATTATATACCATAAATTCCAATATTACATACATGACTCTAATAACAGCAAAAACGTGTATTTAACTAGTATTCTTGGGGATGAAATAGTTCATCTCAAGGGACAAGAGGAAACACCTTCGCACTTATTTTAAACAGGAACAAAGATGAAATTGATAATTACAAATTGACTTAAATCTTCATGGCTATCTCCTCCTCACACATTCCAATCATGGAGCACATCTCTGATGCTTTGAACTTCTCCAGCTTGTGCAAGATGACAGGACCATACCGATAAATCATCCGTTTGCACTGCAAATATCAAAAATAGAAATAAAAAGAATAAAAATAAAAATTTAACCAAATAACTATCTTTGATTGCCTTTTGATGGAGAAATAGACAATCTTACCTGATCTTCATCTTCATCTGCTTCTTCACAGTAGTCCAAAAGAGCCTCAACTATCTTTGACTGAAACAAATGGAAGAGATCAGGGAACTGATGAGGTCTGAGGAGAGAAGATAACATGAATCCATGGAGAAAAGATAAATTCATAGAGTTCTTAGTTTTATTTTACCCTCATTTTAGGCTGCTTCAACCTGCTAATTAGCTCCCTGACCGCCTTTTTACATACTGAGCAAACCTTCTCATTATCACGTAGCTAGAAGCATATGGATCTTTTAGTAATGTAAAAATAAAATTTTAATCGATCATGGAATACAGAAACATGCATCAAACAGGGAATAAATTTCAATAGCTACCTCGTCATCGAGCTCATTCATAACGAGGTAATTATCAATTTGAGAGTCGGATTTTGCACACAATCCTGTTCCATTACAAGGATGGCCTTCTTTGAAAAATTCTTGCAAAATTGCTCTAGCTTCATGCAGATGAGCTCCTGATTTCTTTAAACACTACAAGAAGAAAGCTGAAGAAAATTAGGAATATTACGGGACTAACTTGCATCAAAAATTTTAGAGGGATTTTTGCACCTTATCCTGTAAATCTATGGGGAGAGCAAGGCAAGCTTCAAGTGAGAGCTTATGAGCTTCATCAAACAGTTTTAAACTGTTCAGTGCTGCCTCGGCATTTCTTGAAACTGAAGATTCACCTTCAGAAGAGAGAAACACACGATCAATCTCTTTTCAATCTCAAGCTTGAACGAGGAAGGAAATGCTTTAAACATGTATACTTACTTTCATCTTTGAAAACTGGCTCGATAGTCCTGGCATGTGTAATCACCAGTGAAACGAGAAACATAACAATGCATGATACCGATATCATCTTCATCCTGTTACAAATATAGCGAGCGCAATCAGAATTCTATCAGTTTTAGCCGTTGTTTAGCGTAATATCATACTTCTTGAGAAAATAGATTGAAGGCCATTGATAATTATGTACCTGGAAGATCTTGAGGAAGCTCTGAGTGGTGTAAGAGATTTACAGAATTGGAGAGTCAGGGGAAGGGTCTAAATAAGCCCTAAAACATGCATTATTATTAACCTCGTGATTCCTTAATTTTTTTTAGTTGTTTTTTTTTTCCTTGAGAAGCATTATTGCATTGGATCCATTTTGAACAATGATATTTTCATGTATAGGCTTTGTTAGTTGCTAGTTCTTATTAGTTTTTGGGAGTTATGAAATAGTTAGCAAGTGTTAGATGCTGATTACATCCATTCATAATAGCTTTGTACTACACTAGCAGAAGCTTTATTATTATTAGCAGTTACGATTAATGAAACTGAAAGCAAGTACCAGGTTCATTGCACTCTAAAGTCAAGAGGAATGCTATGAAGAAGAGAGAGAGAGAGGGGACGAGGTTGTCCCTGCCTTGCTATAGAGAGAGTATCAAGCCCTACATTATTACTGTTGGAGAGGGACAATAATATTAAGATATGATGAATACATTGTTTATAATTGAGGTGGAGCTTCTTCAAGTGAAACTATCTGAATGACCACCGTCGACTGGATAATTGGTGCACCAAGAATAGTCTATATTTCAATCAGTTGAAAACATGAAGTCCTAAAGACGAGTCCAGACGTCGAAGATTAGGGAATTACATGAAGACTTAAAGATGAGTTCAGTTGTCGAAGATTAGGGAATTGCGGCAAACAGAAGAAGATTTGGGGTCAAACGTGCCGATTCAAGACCACTGAAAGACTGGATAATTTCCGAAATTAATAGCTCACTGCACTCAACTGATGACAGAATAGAACAAAACCTTCAACCAACAATAGATATGCAACATAATCAGCAACTCACTGAGACAGTGAAAAAAGACGAGGAGTAAACGGTAACCCTTGACATTTACTTGATGAGTGGGGAAAAAATAATACCGAAAGGTAGCATTTTACCACATGCACACACATGCATAAAACATCATATTTCGTGCAGAAATCAACCGCAACATAAACAATTTTGCTGAGGAAGAGAAATCGTTCATAGAGAATCAGCAAAAGAATCCTTGAAATCCTTCAACAGAAACTACCTAATCCTACCTACTGATGTGGATCAGAAGAATACTGGTTGATTTACAGGCAAGGAAATATGTTACATCAGAGGATTGAAATCAGATTGTTCTTGGCCAAAACAAGAATCAGCAGAAGAAGTTAGTCGCTTTTGATTCCGCGATAGAGCATCTCATTGTATCGGAGGTGAGGCTTCTGTTTTCGAGTCCTGGGCTGCATTCTGGATCACAGAACCTTGAATCCCTCAAAACTGTTCGAGTTAGCTCAAAATGGTTGTAAATGGCTTTAAGAGATCAATTGCTTTGAAATCCTCCAGGAACAAACACAGGGAATGAGTCGCCTCGTCCTTCATTTCGGCCTGCATTCTGATCCCTCTCAGTCTCCGGTCTCAATCCAGCACTCCCCTCAGTTCTCCGCCCATCTCTGGCTGCTGCACCGAGAAGAGGCCCACCAAAGAATATCGACTGCCCAGTGTACATCAACCTCTCAGGTCCAAGCACACGAGGATTCTGCCTGGGGTTTGCAACCGAATCCCTAGCAGTTTCCGCTCTGTTAGATATCGCTGGAGGCGGCACCGACACATAACGACCAGCTTCTTGGTCCCACACAACTGAAGCCCTTGGAAGAGTCCCTCGTGGACCAAGAGGTCGATCTGGGACTGAAGCCAAAGGCCGGTTGGGGACAGGGACCAGGGGGCGATGAACTGGCATCGGGTTATGGTTAGGGTTAGCATTCATGTTCAGGCTCCTAGCTGGGCTGCTGATGCTACTTGCAGTTGGTGTGTGTGTCTCATAATCCTCCCTACTTGCAAGACTCTGAGGATAAGAGTTGCGAAGGGGAGAGAGCTTCGTGTCGGTCTTTAGATCCATATGAGCCCCATAGTCCAAGCTCATGCTGCTTCTGATACTTGCGTTGTCGCTAGAGACAAAGTCAGTGGAAGCAGCGTCAGTGGGGATCTGGCGACGACCATCAATGGCGCGGAGGACCGAGGAGGAGGCACGGGCTTTTGCTGCAGCCTTGACAGCCTCGCCAGCATCAAGCTTGGCGAGCTTCCATGCACTGATCTTTACAGCCTTTTTGGCCTTGGCAGCTCGTGCTGCTTGACCGGCAGCATCAGGATCCACGGTGGAGGGAACCATTCCAGGCTCAAGATGGGGAATCACATCATCCTGTTAATTAAGTTGTGCGTTAAATGTTGTAATCAGACATGTACAGGTTTAGTATTTTATAGACATACTCCTTTTAGGACAAACATTATAAGAAAAAAATTGTCAGACAAAAGGTAGGAGAAAAATTAGTAGGACATTCTTTCGATCTTTGATTGACCGACTAAATGTCTTCGAGCAGATCACAACTACATAAAACACAGCTCCTAGGATTTATATCACGTATCGGTAAGGAGAAGTGAGAAATAATTGGACAAAAGGAACTAGAGTGAGACTAAGAAGGAAATGATAACTAGTTAATAGAAGTAAATGCAAAGATGATTCTTAATACAACTGAATGGAAGAATGGGATTCATGTGGCCGACCCCAAAAACTTGGGACCAAGGCTTTGTTGTTCTGTTGTTGTGAAGCACAGCCCCTGTTTGATAATTATTTTAAAGAAAACTAGTTATTGAAGAGTTATTGCGACACTTGCATTGAATTATCTTGAAGGACTTCTCGGTGAGCAGTTTTCAGAAGTCTTAACGTAATTATTAAGAGCCCATCAATATTTCGTAGCAAAACCATATTTTCATTAAACAGGGTGCAGGAAGTTGGTAAGAGAAATATAATGCCAATTACCTGATGATCCACGAAAACCCTTGGAGGAGTGCACCAGACACCTTTATACTGGAGACCGAGAGAGCTTCCAATACTTAGCCCTGTTGTTGCTGAATTGGTCGGTGAATATAGAGGGTTTGGACCCTCATCAGCAGATGCTGGTGGTGCCTCACTCATGGCTTTCATTGCCACAACATATTCGTAGGTTGTTATTCCCTTTTGCGCAAGGAAAAATCAGACAAATTAAGGAGCATCACTTAACAGGAATTTTGAAGTTTGTTACATATTTGGGTTCTACCTTTTTAATCAATATCATGTGGAAGAAAAATAGTTCTCCCAGTGGTATACAAGCCAGGAGGGAAACCACAGTACAAACGGCCTGCACAACTCAGTTCTATAAGAACAGAGGATAATTTACAGAAAGAAAGATAATCTATAATAAGCAGCGACTAATCATAGTAATGGACATAAAAAGAACATTGGGCATAAAACATGAGAACAAGTTTTGAGACAGACCACCACAGTAGCAAAAGGAGCACGAGAGAAACCATTTCCAAGCTTATCGACAATGCTACTTTCGGTTCCCTTCTTATCAACAAAGCAGAGCACGAAAACAGCAACACCAACTCCAAATTCAATTACGAGCTGACATATAAGTAAATTCAACGAAACAAATTTATATTAATATTCTCTCTTAAAGAACTAATAAGCAAAAGCCAGAAAGTAACTAAACAAAAATGAAGAACTGTTCTGTACCCAAATGAGACTGGCGGCCATAAGAGAGATAAACGTCACATAATTTTTCCTCCCAACACAGTTATTAAGCCACTGCTCAAAGAAGTTACATGAGAAGCCACCATACAACAAGTGACAAAATTCTTAGATCACATGTAATGTTTAAACATATGATGACACTGGTTTCTATAAATAAATTACCCGACAGTGATGATCGAATCCATCAACACATTTATCACAGCTTCTGCAGTGTTTACTGAATTTACCGACCTGCAAGGTAAAACATAGAGAAAATAAAGTAAGAATTAGATACACAAACAAGATTACTTAACTGTCAAGATAAAGTGGGAAATGATTTTTCAGATCAAGGAAACAGATATATATATTTGCATAGAATATTTCTAGATCCACATGAGGTGGTGGCAACTAAAATGGTAGCAGTGCTTTCTTGTATAAGTTTGTATCATAATCTTCATTCAAAGTCTATTAAGAGGTACTTTGTTCTATTAAAAGTAAAGGGGCTAGTGAACCAGACTAACTGCTAAAGATCACACTAACAGACTAAAAATAAAGCAGTTACCGTACAAGAATGTAAAATAACAAAGGACATAAAGGAGGTATTCAATCAAGTCATCCGAAGAATCTCAATGACACATAACTTGTTTAACTACATCAGCACAATGGTTAAGGGAATTAACGGAATGCTGGGGAATTAACATTCAATAACTTTATCCTCTAAAGTCAATTCTTTATTATTGTACGTTGAACCTGATTTCTTTGAGTGATATAAAACAGAGTCCGTGACCAATATAAGATGAAGATACTGAAGCTTAGGTTACGGATGCAAAAAAACCAACGAAATAAGAAGACCAGTAATGTTGTTTGATGCATATAGAACTCATGCAAGTAGAAAGGTAAGGTGAACATCACAATACCATTTACCCCCCCCCCCCACACACACACACCCCACCACCACCAAAAAAAAACAACAACAATTGCATTATATGATTGATTGTTATTATAAGCTGAAAATCACACAGAATGAAGAGAGTTTTCCAGAGTAATCAAAGTTGTGCATATAAGTGTGATTATCTATACCTCAGCATTGCACAATGTACAAAATAAAGCATCTTCTCTACTAGCAATGTCCTCTGTCCTGCAGTCATCTTTGACAAATATCATACATAACACTCCTCCAACCAAGCAGCAAGATGATGGCCTCTTTCTTGGAGGAGCTCTTGGTAAACCAATTACATCCTCTTTGCCTGGAACTTTTCCATCGTAATCACCATCTAGCGAGCTTCTGCACATTGAAGATGGAGAAGATTGTATACCACTTCTGTTGGTATCCAAATTAGCAGGTAGGTTTATGCTTTGTAATCTTGGGTTGCTGTTCGGTTTACTGACAATCTCATCATCGAACTTAGCCATGATTCCAATATCAGCAGGGTCAATACGTGTACATCGAATATAAAGGATAAAAACCACAAGTGCCTAAAGTTACAGAGAAAGAAGAAATAAATATATAAGTTAGAAGCATCAACAAGTTATGTCCTTCAAAATACTGAAGCAATGAAAAGTTGACATACATACCACAGGTGAATACACGCCGATAGCAACGTATTCAAAGACGTGTTTCCCAAGAAAAGGAGCAAGAAAGGCATAGAATGCAACAACCAATAGGAAGAATACTGTGATAGCAATAACCTAAAAGAGGAAAAACAACCGCGAACTGAAATTAATTTTAAACGAAGTAAACTTCAACAAATATAATTATAATACATATCAATGTTGAAGCATCAAGAAGTGCATAGAATGAGAACATTTGAAGCTACTGAATGAGAATGACCATTCAATTTTGATGTATTGACTCCAAATCAGTCCGTAAATTTTTTATCGTTAACAATTATGGTGAAATGCCATAACTTGAAGACGATGGGAAAAGTAGCTGATCTGAAAGTCCTCTTATATTTTACAGCCAAGACTTTTCGCACATAAGATTCGTTGTAGCATTAATACAGAGACAACCTCAAAAAGGAAAACATAACAAATTTGGTGATCGCCTAAAAGGGTTTTTCTGTTTGACATCAAAAGCTTGACTGATAAACATAGACACTAATGCTCTACACTAGGGAATTTATGAAGAGAAATTGAATAAGCCATGTCGTCCGAAACTATCCCAAAAAAGGACATTGCATATTTTGTGATGCTTCTAATCGCTACTCACTATCATTTTTGAGCTTAGCATGCTTAAATATCCTACAAGATTTAAACTTTGAACTAAAATTCTAAAATGAATAAGACCACGCCCCATCTCCTTACTACAGCAAAATACTTTGTGAAAGGAAATCTACACTTCGCTCCGCTTCAGTAGGCAATGAGCACACAAACAGGCCTAACCAACAGCTCAATTAATCATAATTTATAAAATAAAAGGCATAAACACGAATGAAATTCTTACAACTAAATTTTGCAGCAAGCAAATACCAAACTAAGTCGTAAATACATCATATACTCCAGCATAAAACAATGAGCCCAATCAAAATAGAGAGAACCCGGAGATCTAATACACTCAACCACAGAAAAAACCCAGAAGGGAAATCCAAATATTACCAACAATTTGTAGACAAATTCCTCAATTTCTCCAAAAACCCAGCGAAAGGCACAAACCAAAGGTTTCAGAGAGTTGAAAAATACCTGAAAAGTGTGAGCAGGGAGTTGCCATCCATGACGCCTCACCATGGCTCCTGAGTTTTTGGGGGCTTTTCGCAATTTCTCTCAGAAATCAAAAGGAAAATATCTACAGAATGGCGGAAAAAATTAGAGAAAAAAAAAAGAAAAAAGCTGCAGCCTTTTTTGTTGTTTCTCCTCTCGGAAAAAATGAGAGAGAGTTAAAGAAGCTTGCTCTCTCTCTTCTCTCGGGGGTTGGAAGCTGTTTCTCTCTCTAAAACTCACTTCTTTCTCTCTCTACAAGTAAGTGTATTTTCCTTGTGATTCTTGCATATCTTTGTACTTTCAGTGTATGAGCTTATGTGAGCGTGTTGCTTACTTGTTTATGTATATGATGACGCCGCACTGTAATAAGAGATTATTAAACGGCTAAAATAGCACTTGAATGCCTTAGGTTCACTCACTTTGCACCTATATATATTTGTTGGGTATCTACTCAAACTCTAAGTTGGGATAAAGTTTTTAATTCTTAATTTGTATAACTTCATGAGAATTAGATAATGTTAGAGATCTATCATGATTAGGAGTTTGGGTTCCATCATGATTGGGAGTTTGAATCTTATTCTAATTAGGAAGTTAGACTAGAGATAGAGTTTTGGTTTCTCTATATATATCCTTCTATTGTTAGAGAAAAAAAAAAGAGAAGAAAAAAGAAGTGTAGAGAGAGAGGGTTTGGCAGTCTTTATCCGTGTAAAAGATTGTAATTTGGAGGTGATAGTGGATTGATTTTGATCCCGTGGTTTTTCCCCGTTGAGGGTTTTCCACGTTAAATCTTGTGTGATTTTATTTGCTGCGTTTGATAGTTTTTTTGGGGGGGTTTACGTATGAGATCTAAAAATTGTTGGAACACGTGAGTGTGGAGGCCAGCGGTTCGTTTCCGCGTGAAGAGATTATTTCGGTGTGGGGACCACAAAATGTGTGAAAAAGCAAGGACACGTGAAAAAGATCCGGTTCTCTTGGATTCCGCGTGAAGAGCCTAAGAGACCAGCGGATTTTTTTTGGCTGGTCCACCCGAAAACACAGCAGATGTCTATAAAAGCCTAGTTTTTAGGGTTTTTGGATGGCGTGCCAAGTGAGGGGTGCAGAGACTCTTTTGACGGTTGCAGGCTTGTAAGAGCAGGGAGAAAACTTTGCAGCGCGAGGAGAGTTTTGTGAAGAGAGAAAAAGAATTTGGGGGCTGACCTTTTCTTGTAAAGAAAAACAAGGAGCCTATTTGAGGGTTTAGATTGTGAGAGTTGTAAACCTATTGTATTCTTTTTCTCTTTAATAGTAGATCCCCCTTCTTGCCCCGTGGACGTAGGCAGTTTGCCGAACCACGTAAAATTGATTTGTTTGAGTTTGTGGTCATTGTAATAGTTTTAGGATCCCTCGACAGGTCAGTCCTAGAACTGATGAGAGGAAGAGCCGATATCTCACTTGGTTGAGATATCCGCTTCAGATTCTTGTTTCCTTGGTGAGACGGGAATTCTTTTTGATCTTTCTCTCTTATTGTGCACCAGAAACTCTGCCGAAATTTCCGCTGCACACAACAAGTAGTATCAGAGCCCAGATTCCAGATCTAGGGTTTGGTTGGAGGAGTAGATCAATTTGGAGGCCCGTTTAGGACTTCGTTGGTGATAAAGGTGGGATCTTTTGGTAAAGACTCTATCTTTCAGTTTTGGATCTATTCTTTGTTCGTTGGTGCGTAAGATGTCGGGGAAAGAAGGTGCTTCGGGTGTCGAGGGTGGTGCTTCAGGCGCGAAGACCATTCAGAGTTTGAATATCCACTCTATGAAGATATATGTGGAGAAGTTTAATGGCACAAACAATTTTGGATTATGGAGATGCGAGGTTTTGGATGCGCTGAACGCGCAGAATTTGGAGGATACTTTGGAGTTAGATGGCAAGCCAGATGAGATTGAAGAGAATGTTTGGAAGAAGATGAATCGAACGGCGTGTGGTGTGATTAGGTCTTGTTTGACTCAAGATCTAAAATATGATGTGATGAATGAGACTTCTGCGAAGAAGATTTGGGAGATTCTCGAAAGCAAGTATTTGACCAAGAGTGTGGAAAATCGCTTGCATTTGAAGAGGAGACTTTATCGTTTCCAGTTGAAGAAGGGGACCACCATTAGAGATCACATGAACCACTACACGAAGCTTCTTGCGGATTTGGCGAACATGGATGTTATAATTGAAGATGAGGACAAGGCGTTGCTGTTGTTGAGTTCCTTGCCCGACGAGGAATATGAGACCTTCGTTCTTACTTTGATTAATGGGAAGGCATCACTTTCGTATAGTGAGGTCACTGCTGCATTGGTGAATTATCAGCTTCGGAAGAAGGATAAGGAGAATTCGACTGAGTCGGTAGCAGAGGCGTTGGTCGCAAGAGGGAAGAATCCAAACCGGAAGAATTGAAAGTCACAGTCTAGAGTAGGGCATCCTACAATTGGAAAAGATCAGTGTGCTTGGTGCAAGGAGACTGGTCATTGGAAGAAAGACTGCCCAAAGCTCGACGAATGGATGAAGAATAAACAGAAGGGAAAAGGGAAGCAACCATCATCAGAAGCAAACATCGTATTAGATGGTAATAATTCTGACTCTTCTAGTTATTCGCTTTCTATCAGTCCTACAGATAGCTATTCAGAGAAATCTGAATGGATGTTGGATAGTGGTGCGACCTATCATGTGTGCCCTAGAAGGGAATGGTTCTCCAGTTTTGAGAAGCTGGTGGATAGTGGTGTGGTGTACATGGCTGATAACCGTGCATGCCAGATCCTTGGGATAGGAAGAATTCGCATAAAGATGTTTGACGGGACTGTTAGAGAGTTAAACGATGTGAGATATGTTCCTTCTTTGAGGAAGAACTTGATCTCGATTGGAGCTTTGGTTGGAGAGGGTCTGAAGGTTCGTGTTGAGGACATGGTTCTCGAGATTGCGAGAGACTCTCGTATTTTGATGAAGGGCGTCAGGAGAAATAACCTGTATTACTTGACTGGAGGTATAGTGGCAGGTGGAGAGCTGACGACTTCTGTTGATTCGACTAGACTGCGACATTTGGGGCTTGGCCATTCCAGTATTGATTCCTCGCATAGATTGAAAGAGGGTGCAAAGACCTGCAGTTTGAAGTCCAGTGAACATGTTGATGTGAGCAAGAAGACCGAGGTGAAGTGTGGCACCTCTATTCACCGTGCTAAGGGTCGTTCTGGAGGAGTTCACGTGGATGTTTGGGGGCCTTTTCCAAGGGTATCATTGGGAGGTAATAGGCGTTTGGTTTCCTTTGTTGGTGGTTGTTCTAGGCGTGTTTGGGTTGCAATCAAATCCCCTTTGGAGAAAGTCCTAGTAGTATCCAACATATTGAAGAAGTGTGTAAGAGACAGAAAGGTGAAGGTACTCCATTCTGGTGGGAGGTACAAGATGGACCTATTTCTGTATTGGAGCCGAGCTCACGGCATTTCGAGACATTTCGTTGAAAAGGAAATCTTGGGGCAACTAAATAGGGTGACAAAATTGGAGAACCGTGCCTTGCTGGAGGAGGATCGGTGTTTGTGGTCGAGCAATGGTTTGCAGAAGAGTTTCTGGACAGAGGCTTCGATATATTTGGGTCATCCTATTAAAGAGTTGTCAACTGCTATGATTGGAGGTAAAACTTCATTAGAAGATAGGTCTGGTAGTGTCACTTTGGTTGAGGCTTCGATGAGGAAGCCAATTGACTCTCAGCAGGTGGAGAGTTTTGGACAGACCTTAGAGGTATCGCAGCGGGTGGAGAGTGATGCTACTCCACATTGGGTGGGGATTTTCCCACATACTCCAGGTCATTCTGCATTGGTTGGGATTCCAGCTGAGGTGACACAGCGTGGAAGTCATTTGGATTCGGATGCAGATGATGAGTTGGGTTTTGACAGCTGATAGATGTAGTTTGGATATGGTCATTGGTTCACCTCAGGTGGAGGTGTTTGAGGCCATTGGAGGTGCTATCAGTCGTAGACTTGATCGTGATGTTGGAGAAGGGTTGCGTACTCTTCTAGTGGATTGAGGCCTTTGGAGGCCATTTGGGTGAACTACGTTCGGCTTGATTCCTTGGGCAAGAGGATACGTAGGCAGTCTTATGATGCAGCCGGGCTGGATTTTTTTGATGGGGGTGAGATCGATTTGGTGAGTTGATACTGACATTTGGAGAGTGTTTGCATTCTCATTTGGGTTCTCGACTTGTTATGGATTGAGTCTGTTGTCGTGAATTGTTTCACGGTGTACTGGACACAACAAGTGAGGCATTTGGTTTGGTTGGTGTCGGCTCAGTTTTGGGAAAACTTCACCGAGGTGGAGAATTGTTGGAGCACGTGAAGAGATGCGTGTGGGGACCACAAAATGTGTGAAAAAGCAAGGACACGTGAAAAAGATCCGGTTCTCTTGGATTCCGCGTGAAGAGCCTAAGAGACCAGCGGATTTTTTTTTTGGCTGGTCCACCCGAAAACACAGCAGATGTCTATAAAAGCCTAGTTTCTAGGGTTTTTGGATGGCGTGCCAAGTGAGGGGTGCAGAGACTCTTTTGACGGCTGCAGGCTTGTAAGAGCAGGGAGAAAACTTTGCAGCGCGAGGAGAGTTTTGTGAAGAGAGAAAAAGAATTTGGGGGCTGACCTTTTCTTGTGAAGAAAAGCAAGGAGCCTATTTGAGGGTTTAGATTGTGAGAGTTGTAAACCTAGTAGATCTCCCCCTCCTTGCCCCGTGGACGTAGGCAGTTTGCCGAACCACGTAAAATTGATTTGTTTGAGTTTGTGGTCATTGTAATAGTTTTAGGATCACTCGACAGGTCAGTCCTAGAACTGATGAGAGGAAGAGCCGATATCTCACTTGGTTGAGATATCCGCTTCAGATTCTTGTTTCCTTGGTGAGACAGGAATTCTTTTTGATCTTTCTCTCTTATTGTGCACCAGAAACTCTGCCTAAATTTCCACTGCGCACAACAATATCATCTCTCGTCCAATCATCTCAAGGACCTTTGATTTGTCCAGCTTCCTCATCACTTCACTCCCGGGATTAGCTAACACAAGCTAATTACATGATTAAAGTTAGAGCATATTGATTAGTTACCCATAAATTGATAATTTCAATCTCGTAAATTACAAAAGACAATTACAGTTACATATACAATTATTTTGTTTTTCACTACTGTAGTCTGGGGTCGAATTTTGGCAAGAGCGAATTTGCAGTCAAATTGAGTACGTGCAACCCTTTTCGTAAAGGGTTTTTAAATATTACTGCCCCATCTCTTTCAAATTTCAAAATTAGTCTCCTAAAGCTCTCATATTAGTTTGAAATTAGTCCCTCAAATCTTTAGGTGTCTTGACAATAGTCTCTCTATTTAGCAACGGACGAAAATTGGAGAAATATTTCAGTCTTCGTTAAACATTTTGGAATGTGATATCAGTTTTATTTCACGAGGGGAAAATTTATTTCACGAGGGCAATTTTAGTAAAGAGTACCCATTTCTGGTTAACTACTGGTTCAGTTGTTGTTAATAATTTGTATGATAATGTAACCACCAAGACAATAATTTCATACCCTTAAAAAGGTGTAGGGGTCTAATTTGAAAACCCTATAAAGATTTGATGGTTAATTAAAAGTTTTTGACATTAAATCCAAAGGTTATAATTCATACCTGAAGCCCTCTTCTCTCAACACTCTTCCTTAAATCCTCGAGCATGTTAATTCCGCTAGCGTCAATGCTGGTCACAGCTTCAAAAATAAATAAATGAATACATTAGGCTCATGTAGCTCGTGTGACTAATTAACATAGTAACAGTGTTCACAGGTGTGAAAGTCTTACTTACCACTCATGTCTAAAATCACATAATTCAGGCTAATTTTCTCCCCCTTTGCTCTCACCATACTTTCCTCCTCTTCATCAATGTATCGCGATATCCTAAAATCCAAATAATAATAGAGTCTCATATAAATATGTGGCAAGTGTAAATGTGCATATATGTATCCTAATTGTATCTAGGGGTTCATTGAGGATATAAATATAACCTTGTAGCATCGTTTGTTTTGAACTTACCATCCCTCTACTTTTATTGTTGCGTATAGACCCCCCTATTGAAATACCCCTTGAAGGAAAAAAGAGGTAGACAAATTTTGTTTAAAATGTCTATATATGTACAAAAGTAAAACTAGAGGAGTAGTAAGTTCAAAACAACGATATTACGAGACATATATCTGCAACTAACACTTGTATCTAAAGTAGCTCGCCTCTCTTTCAAGTAGCTAGCATTAGTGAAAAATATCGGAGCATCAATTTGGAGTATGAACACTTTTGATACACTCTGAGCTATTGGATATTGATCCATCCTTCGATAGACCGCGGAGTTCGGTATGTTCCCTAGAACACTAGTTCTAGGCCTCGCGACGAACAATAAAACCCTAAGTATCGAGATTGCAACCTACAACGATGCAATATATTTGATTAGGAACAAAAAAGAGAAATCGATTGTAAACTTCGTTTCCGCGTGAAGAGATTATTTCGGTGTGGGGACCACAAAATGTGTGAAAAAGCAAGGACACGTGAAAAAGATCCGGTTCTCTTGGATTCCGCGTGAAGAGCCTAAGAGACCAGCGGATTTTTTTTTTGGCTGGTCCACCCGAAAACACAGCAGATGTCTATAAAAGCCTAGTTTCTAGGGTTTTTGGATGGCGTGCCAAGTGAGGGGTGCAGAGACTCTTTTGACGGCTGCAGGCTTGTAAGAGCAGGGAGAAAACTTTGCAGCGCGAGGAGAGTTTTGTGAAGAGAGAAAAAGAATTTGGGGGCTGACCTTTTCTTGTGAAGAAAAGCAAGGAGCCTATTTGAGGGTTTAGATTGTGAGAGTTGTAAACCTATTGTATTCTTTTTCTCTTTAATAGTAGATCCCCGTGGACGTAGGCAGTTTGCCGAACCACGTAAAATTGATTTGTTTGAGTTTGTGGTCATTGTAATAGTTTTAGGATCACTCGACAGGTCAGTCCTAGAACTGATGAGAGGAAGAGCCGATATCTCACTTGGTTGAGATATCCGCTTCAGATTCTTGTTTCCTTGGTGAGACAGGAATTCTTTTTGATCTTTCTCTCTTATTGTGCACCAGAAACTCTGCCGAAATTTCCGCTGCGCACAACAAAAATCCCTACAATATTCACTAGTTTTTCGCAACGTCTTTGTACTCTTAAGTTGTTTAAAATTTGCAAATTAGTACCCTGAATGATCTCATATGAAGTTCAGATGAAAATTTTTATGCTTGCATGATAGAGGGTGCTAGTATGTTTTTATACAACTTATGGTGTATAAACGTCATGGAAAACAAATGAGGTATATCTAGGTATAAAGTGAGTGAAATCACTAGAAATTGTTCAGTATATCATGTTTATAGGAGAACTAGTCATCAATGATAATAAATTAGTTAAATTAATTAATGATCTTAAGAACACGTCCTAAATACTGAAGAATCTTAGAAAAATGCTGGTTTTCAACGGCAAGAGATGTAACATCAAGATATGGTGTTAGGTATATAATCCCTTTGTTATCCTATGTTTTAACATTTTGTTAAGATGACAAGGTTACTTTTCTTTTTTTTCCCCCTAAAACTTAGTATATATAAAGTCAATCAAGTTGTCGTAGACTGTTTGGCTGTTGTGAAGGATAGAGAACCATGAGCTTATAATTACTTCATTACATTATTCAACATTCTAATTATAAATATTTCAACATGTAACACCTAAGATATATGTGGTGCCAAGAAGAGTAGGAAAAGGTCAATATATAACAACTATCCAATATTCAAATAAGAGTCAATCAAGTGTAAATATTATGGTAAACAAAATAGCACATTGCTTCAAATTAGTCTTAAGAATCCTTTGCTTTCATAATCATCCTCTCTTTTTGTTATTTTACTGCTCTATACATGCAGCTCTTTTTACTTTAGGAGCTTATATATTACAAGATGAAAAGTAATTTCTAAAAAAAAAATCATTTTTAAGGAAAAATTAAAAAGATATGACAAGGGCCTGGATGCTAAACATCCTTAATTTAAAACAAGAACAGTTAACTGAAATTCTAAATGCGTAGCCTTAAGACATTGCAATCAAGTTAATTTGTGAATGAGAATGATTTTCTTTATTGTATGAATAGGCCTTCAATCTAAATATGAACTGTCTCTTGAACTTTTCTTGAATTTAAAATAATTATGTCCCAGTCCAATCCATTAGTACCCTACCTAACCCTTAATGGCTGTTGGAGTGTTGTCTTCCATGCCTTAACCAAATATGCATAATGTTTTGGTAGATCAAGCTCAGAAAGATAATAATATTTGCATTTTCTAGATTACACTCATGTTTCAGGTTGATTTTACTTTAAAAATATTATAAGAAACATTTTCTTATATTTCGGCAGAAAACTACAAGATTATTTATCAAGCTTATTCATGAAAACAGGGAAATTCTACAGTGGCCTCCACAGTTTACAGCATATAATGCCTTTTGCGGGATCATGCATCATAACTTAGTACTATTCTACAATTTCAGCATACTTTATGTGCTCTGCTGGTAATAATTGAAATATTCTTGCATGGGTTAGGTTATCGTATATGGCCAGCTGTTAACTGTGGGCCCACAATTACTTTCCAGCCCTGCCACATAAAGCCATATAAATCATATCCTATACCGCCTACGGTTGAGTAGATATTATCTTCATACCAACCACAGATCTAAAAAACAAGTAGAATAAAATAAAAAACAAGTAGAATAAAATACACACACACATACATTATAACCATTATGATGCCAACTTTCATAACAAACCGAGCAAATAAACAAACCAAATGTATGAAGTCCCCAAACCCCAGGCCACATATTCAAAGAGGAAAAGACGTTTTAGTCATCAAACTCAAAGTTCTTATATAGATATTTTTGTATATAGATAAAAGTAACTCTATAGCTAGAGAAAGTCTTCACAGCTTCCATTGATCGTCTTCTTCTCTCTAGGAGCTCTGTGATCTGTTTTTAAAAATAAAAATAAAAATCTAAGCATCATCAGAGATCAAAGTCAATTGCTCAGTACATAGAAGAAAGGTTAACAAGTTATATGTCTTGGTTGCACGATAGCCAATGTGCTCACATTGAATGAGGTGAGAGAGAGAGAGAGAGAGAGAGGTAGAGAACCATCTCATATTTATTACACTTGGTGCCTGAAATGAGCATCCAAAGTTAATTAGCTATATGTCCTTGTTTATTCTTGATCACACTGCTGCTCATAGGATCCTTGTGAGGGTTGGTACTTTGAGATTCACAGGCTTCTTTCAGTGTGCATAAATGGTTCTCGTAGGGGTTAATAGGGGACAGATCCCATGTTTTGAACTTACTACCCTCTAATTTGTTTTGTTGCGATTTCCCCCCCTCTCTTTTACCTTTCGAGGGTCTACGTCAAAAAATAAAACTCTTTCTCTTGCGGTAAAAGAGTCAAAAAAATTCCACTCGGGTGTCTACTTGCAACGATAAACAAGACGGGTAGTAAGTCCAAAACATCAATATTACGGGGTCTATCAGTGAGTAACGTTGTTCAAAAGTGATTGTACATGTCTAGTGTTCTTTCATTCACAAGATAATTGTGAAACAAAATACATAAATGTTTTATGCGATACATTGTTGACGACAAACAAGTGCAGTGCAGAAACAAAATAAATAATCAAAACAAGCACATATTCTGAAAATTTGAAATTTAAATGTCTAGCGTTGTTTATTATATATACAGGTCAGTCAATATGATCCGATTTCAACCTAATTCGAGATACAAATTGCATAAATTTGATATTTAAATTTCACAGTCTTAGCCTATTCTGAAAATAGAGCTAAGCTCTGAACTGATTGCATTTGCTTACTAGTGGAGCAATCATAGCTCTCTTTTAGTTTTGTTATTATTCAACTGAATCTACGTGGTCTAATTCCAACCCGATTTTGAACTATATATGATTGCATAATTTGGGCCTACTTTTGAAGTTTGCTTACCAGAGCTGAAGCCCACTTCCCTGCAGGCTGTCCTCCTGCAGGTTCGGCTGCATGGGCTGCAGCCGAAAGGTGTGCAGCTGGGGTGCAAGCTGCAGCACATTCCTTGGCCCTTCTTCTTGATACAGATTCCCGAAATGCTCCAGCATCGCAATCTCCCCAACTTTATGATCAGTTGCAGTTTGATGCTCCATCGATGCCTGATGCTCGGATAACTAATCATATACATCCATAAAAATTACATTCAATAAGTTTGAGCGGACCAATATGAAAGAAAATCTAATGTTTGCTACTTACTGCACGATACAGATACGTGTTTTGATCTTCCAAGAGGTGCTCCTGCAGTTTCAATGGTTTAAAAGACTAATTTGAAAATATAAAATTTTAGGGACTAATATCTTAAAAAAAACCTTTTGGTAGTCTGGTGTTTACAAGTTTTTACCTTGCGACGCAAATTATCTAGTTGCTGATGCATCAGTTGATGCTGTTAAGATACAAGTAGAGTTAGAGAGAGAAACTGCTATAATTACGTCTAGTTCAGGTTCAGATGCATCAAATCGATGTATATACCTTTCTGGTTCGAACTTTGTTAAGCGAGTACTCTAATTGATCTTCAAGTTGGTTCAGGTCATTTATATACCTTTCTGGTTCGAACTTTGTTAAGCGAGTACTCTAATTGATCTTCAAGTTGGTTCAGGTCATTAAGAGTTAAAGTGTTCGAACTTTGTTAAGCGAGTACTCTAATTGATCTTCAAGTTGGTTCAGGTCATTAAGAGTTAAAGTGGTTAAGTCCTCACCATTGAACTTCCTCATACTTGCTTGGAGCTTGTCAGCTTCATTTCTCATCCTTGTAATCTCCAAGAACAATTGCTAACAAGAAAGGGGGTAAGTTGATTAAAAAAATTAAAGGAAATAATTTGATGATGATTACAGAGTTCTACCTGATGATGAGTCTCAATATCATCGAAACGAACGTTGGTGGCTCTCTGGTATCGCTCGATAATGTGATGCATGCTGTAGAATTTTTAAAGTTAAGAAGTATACTAATAAACTCTAATTTCCGCTCTAACAATGAAACAAACGTTTAAGCTATAAGGTTAAAGATGGAACTATCTCATTAATTATGATGAATCAAACATGAATAAAAGAACTCTTTGGTTTTCATTTAGGCATATAAGAAATAATTCATCTAATTAAGTGATGCGCCATTTTACTTATTTATGCATATTTTCATAAGATCTAAGCGAAATGAAACTGAGAGTTGCAAGTTTACAGTAACATGCAGGTCTATGTTGCAGGATGTGCGTTGGAGGAAAAAAAACTGATACGAAACTAGGATAGACATTGTCATATATCATGAGTTTAATGTGATTATTAACAATATTCACGATACTATTGTGTTAGTTACATTATGATATGTGAGAAAATAACTTGATGCCATATTTAAGAAAGTATTTCAAAGAGAAAGAGTTTCTCGAATCTCAAGTTCAATAGTACCGGGGATTTTCTTGAAAGAAAGGAGGATGGGGATGATTTTCTTCCCAAAAAATTCACGAAGCATAGGTTTAAATTATGATAACTGTAATAATAATCCAATTGTTGTAAGCAAGAATACAGTTAAACATATGATAACTAAACTTTGTAAAATTGTCATGAATTCCTCTGGAAAGTTGTGATATATATTATACAGGTATCTGTGCACATAATAAAGATAAATTACATATATAGTAATTAGGTCACTCGTTATTGTATATGCACATTATATTATCGAATTAAGATGTACTATATGTAATTAAATTGGAGATGGTACACCGAAAATAACAAGTTAGAATGTTAGTTACTTATTAAGTAATTGAATATTAGTGTAGCATGTTCATACTTCTTTTGTTCACTTTTTATTTCAGTCTTATTACTTCCCCTGGAATAAAAATGGTATATAACCATACAAAAAATAGACATCACTAATGAAACATCATGACACAAAGCAAAACAGCTCAAGCAGTTGGTGTTTAAGGAACGACTGAAATGATATACTATCAGCTATTAATAGTAATTAAAACATTTGAAGACATATTAAACTAACTTAATCTTCACTCTGCTAGGAGAATAAAACATAACTTTATTCTCACAGCACAAATATGCTTTTTTGACGAGTAGGGGGGAAATAACTATTTAAATACAACTTCAGTGTTTGGTGATATGATGATAATAGGTAATGCCACTAAACCACCTATTTTCCATAGTAGCTATGCATAAAAAATTAATGGAAGATTTTTGCTCCCGTTATTTTCAATAATCGTTGCATTGATTTTTAATAGAAGCTTTATTTCGCTACATTTCGGACACAAATATCTTTCCCTTTCTAAAATTAATATGAGAGTCTTAGAAAATGGTACGATGCTGAAATTAAAGAAAGAAGCTCAAATGTGCTTCAAAATTTCTCATTATAGACAGAGGATATCAGAGAATGTTTATAAACTTCTGATCTTGATTTACATGCACATGACTTTTGAATTCTTTTTAAGTAGGGAATATCATAAATTCTGATTATGTTTGAAGGGGGAAAAAATGAATTGAGTTCTGATGAATAATTAACATTTCTGACTTGCATAACTCAAGTCATTTCTCCAAAGTTCCTAAGATTAATTAATTAATGGTAAGCATGCCTTAATTTGTTGAAGGCCATACATGAGGCATGAAAAACACAATTCCAAGGAGCACTGTAGTCAACCATGCAGTCTTGCAGTTAGTATGAGTAATACAAACACAAGAAAGTAATCATTATAAGGATCAGGAAAAAAGTGGAGCGAGAAAGAGAGAGAGAGCAAATAATGATATCTATCATAAATTTAAAGTGAAAATACAAACACACATCATATGCATGAAGAGTGAAAAAAAATCATATGTTAATGTAAAATTTCCAGATACATAAAATTTTACAAATCTTGAAATTGCTAATAGTTAGGACTTGAAATGCAAATTGGTAAACTGGAAAACAAAATCAGAATATAGTTTGGAGTTAAGAAGAACATATAATCTTGAAAATGTAATTAAATTATGATCATTGTTATCTATTCAAATATATACATACATGCATAACGCATAGTATCGATGCTTTTTTTCCCATCTAAACTTTACTTATAATCACAAAAAAAGTAAAAGTAAAGGCCAAATACAAACCTTAAAGGTGGATTGCAGTACTCAAACATCTTGCCACTGCTTGAGAAGACAATAACCCCAACCTGAGCATCGCAGAGAATTGCAAGCTCATGGGCTTTCTTCAAGAGCCCTCCTCTTCTCTTTGAGAAGGTAACTTGTCTGTTTGTGGGGTTCTCAATCTTCTTGATCTCTATCTTTCCTCGACCCATAGATGCTGATAGGCTGCTTTTCTCTCTTTTTATCGGAGAAAATAAAATTTAACAGAAGAAAGTTTCATCGCAATTAAGCTTTAAAACAAGAAAAGAAACATACGAGAAAATTATAATTGAATTGTGAATAGATGCAGCGAGTGCTACATTAACTTTATTTAGTTGTTGAAAGGAAGAAACTAAGAGATCACAAAAGTTTCTAGTTAAATGCTAACATGAGATAGCAGAGATTGAATGGAAAAGAAGAGTAACATGAGGTTTTCAATCAGATTTAGAAAATATTAAATTGGGATCTGTTTATATAAAGAATTAGTACAAACTGAATGCTGTCATCAGAAATAGAAAAAAACGAAAAATGGTTTAAAGTATGAAAATGATGCAATATTTCTTACCTTCATTCATTTCCATTCTAAAAAAAAATATGGTGGAAGAAAATTAAGGAATGCAAAAGAGAGGAGAGGAAGTTGTGTTACCTTCTGTACTTTTACTTGCTTGAAGAGGAGAGAATAGAGAGGAAGATGTACAGAGGTTGAGTTATGGAGTCTATGTTGGCCTTAGCTATAGCTTTATAAAGTAAAAGAGAAAAATATCACATTTTCCAAATATAAGTCCATTATTTCAAACAAACTACAAAATGCACTTGTCATTAGACCATTATAAAAAGATTACACTATGCCCTTGTGTACTAATACATGTACATGCATTAAATTATCTTTTTCTTAGTTTGCATGTTTGCTTTGCATCATTGCATGGATGTGCATATATACGATGTATATAAATGATAAAAAAGAACATTAATTAGTGGATATATAGTGTGAACCCTAGAGATTATATGTACTCATGCATGAAAGCTAGAGAGAGAGAGAGAGAGAGATGATTTTTGCTATTCAAAACAAAGTGGGAGAAAAGGGAATATATTCTACAATTGATGAGATTGTGGCAATTATAGTTAATTCCTTGAAACTCCAAGGCCTGTTTGCATGCTTCATGGAGTGCAAAGGAAAGAGAGTTGCTGTGGACTGCTAACCGCCCCTGACCCATTGGCTCTCGCAAGTTTCCTGGTTTTTCCTTTTTATAGGAACACTTGCAGCTCCTAGGATGCTTATGGCTTTTACCATAACAAGAAAAAAATAAAACCCTAGGACCCATTTTGAAGGGGACAGAGAGTCATTAACAAAACAAGAACATTGACACATGGGAGATGTGAACAATATATTTTACATAGACTAAAACATGTGACCAAGAATGAGGACCAAAATCATATGCCATTTGATTTTTGAGCCACTTCTATATGATTCATGCAGTGGAAATCATAAGTTAGCAGATGGGTTGTTCCTTGTTTGGTTAGTAAAAGGAAGGATGTCAGACGTCACTCATAGCTCTTACCTGTCCAACTTCAATGAATCAAGCGACCCAAGTTTTTTTCAGAAACCCTAGAAATTGAACTAGGATTTCCAAATGCTACCTGTAGCCACCTCCAATGAAAACACAAATGATTCTACTTAAGCTACAGCAGTAAACATTAGAAGATATACTTAGCTAGACAGCATTAATCATGTCCTAATTATTAGCCCAGCTAATACCTGCACACCATAGAGAGCTTTGCCTATTAATGTACTTTAGCTAACAAATATTTCAAACTTTTTACATGAAATTTTATCGATAAGTATTCATGTTTACCTCAAAAATAGATCTAAAAACACTTCATGGAATGTAGCATGTGAGACATTAGTAATGCTTTAATTTAGATCTTGAGTTTGTCTCCCAATTTTAGTATTGTCAGTAAAAGAGCTAGTAGCATTCTTATATTAAAGCAAGTTAGTACCTAGTATTCATGACATGTAATCTATTTTAAAGATGGTTTCACTTGTTTCTACCAAAGGGGCTTAGCGGCTAACACGTATATATAGCTAGAAGAAAACTTGGAAGATTTCTACGAGATGTGCATGCAGGCTTTATTTAATCGTTTGCTTATGTGCTATTGTTAGTTCTCCTTGTCTTTGTTCTCTAACATGCACTTACTAATACAATCCCTAATTATCTATAGTATATTTTATATAAGACAATATGGCTAGCTCTCGTTGCTTATTTGTAGGAAAGAAGATAGAAATTCATAATGAAGGCATTGGAGACTTTAGGTCCTAATTAATTTAAAGTAGACAAATTAAGTGATCATGTACAATTTATTAATTTTATTATACAATTGGGAACTCCTGTTGGTCTACAAGAGCTGAACTTCGATATATCATATCATAGTGAAACTCTCAAAACTATACATACCCTACAATTAAAATAAAAAACTTAAACAAGAAATGATTACATCATGAGAATAAAGAGGACAGACAAACTGGGCAAGATCTTCTAATAACTTGGTAAACCAATTAATAGTTCTTCTAGTTTATAAGTAGCCAATATTGGAATTTTAAAAACCTGAACTCATGACAACTTATATCTGCTCTGTAATGAAGGCTACAGCTTATAGAGTCTGAAACTATATATGCAGGTGAAAGTTACGATTATATCATTCATCAATATTCAATTGAAATTGTATAATTATTAATCAAGCAAAATTGTAGTAAATATGTTGGCTTCTCAAAGAAATAACATGTCAACTTCTTGTTTTATATATAGTTGCTACTTAGGAGTTAATTGTCTGTATAAAGTTGCATTTGAATTTTCACCAACAATGTGGAATTTAATTATGTCTCTCTCAGAAAAATGAGGATAATGTGTAATGTGCATGAGATCCCCACAAGTAAAAACTAGCCAAGAAATGTGTGACTAATGGTAGCTTGTTAATCTATATCAACTTCTCTAAATGTCACAACCTACACGTACAACTTTTGAGATAAGAGAGCATGATGTGCTTCCTTATTAAGGAAACATGAGGAAGGGATTTTGGTTGCCTTGGTCCCTTTGGCTTCTCCTTAATTCTTCTCCCCTTCCTCTTTTACAACTCCCCACTTACATCTACTTTTTCTATTAAAAGACACATCCAACAGCTCACTCATTGAATATCCATGCAATTACTTCTCCCTTTCATCCTCCCACCAATATAATAACTCTCAACAGCAACAAAAAACAGCCACCTCCACCAAAAACCCCCTTGATGTTGCACTATTAATCCTTGAATAATTCTGTTTTGCGACGATTTAAAAATGAGTAAACCTCCGTTTAAGTTTGGCCGTATTTACGCACGTGCAATGTGCATCTAATGGGAAAAATCCCTTTCATGTCCTTTTTAATTAACGTTAAAGAGCTGTAATTTAATTTAATAATTAGATTATAGTTAGGATTAGGGTCTTAGTTAAGGATTAATTAGTTTAATTCAATAATTAGGGTGCCCATTTGAAAAGCTTATTTTAGTCTTTTTACCAGTTTATCTAACACCATTTATAGCGGTCATTAAAAGAATTGAAAACGTTTGGAGAGTTTCCTGAAACACTGTCCAAGGGGATCAAGTGACTACACTTGTGAAGTTCACAGGGTTATCTCAAAATGGGCCAAATTTTAAATGGGGGTTTTATGACATTTATCATTTAGAAGTAGACAATTATTTATACACCATACAATAATCTAAGAAGCCTTGAATATACTTTAATAAATCAACTTACAGCAGCAGTGCAATAATTTTATGTCAGGAAGTAAAACCATGTTCAGAGGAGATCTTCATGGGTATGAAGAGCAAGGATTTTATGTGCAGAGGATTCACGCTAATGGTTCTTAGACGCTTGGCCGAACAATTAGCTTGAAACAACTTTTAAAGGAAACAAGAAAGCAACCAAAGCTTGGCAAGAAATGTCTGAAAGTGACAAAATATTTTGGACCAGCTAGGATAGTGATGCTAACCACTAGAGTCTGCCTCAGATCCCAATGTACTCTCCATGTAATGAAACAAGACCAAATTGAATCTCAAATTTGAGAACTCATCAGAAGAATGTGCTATTAGTACAGTAGAATTAGATTTTGCTAGTTACAGTACATATTCATCCATATTCTTAGTACAAACATCTTATTGTTCCAGTAATGGATTGCAATGTCTAGGACAACTTAGAAGGATTACAATACAAAACAGAGGGAATGTTACCATAATAAGAACAAAATTAACATTGCTGAATTGATATTAATTAGCAAGATCCTCAACTTGCTTGAATGACAAAATCATCTTCATTGCCTCCAATGACATAGAAACAAGAATTCACAGTGAACATGACATAAACAAAGGTCGATAATTTCCATTCAAAACTGTAGCTATAAATAAGAGACAATCATTGGCCATCTAAAATCAATACCATATAAAAGCAGGCTTCAACCACAGGCACACAACTGAGGGTTTTTTTCCCCATCATTCACAGACTTGCATGAGTTCTTGCTTGAATGATTATGAACCAACAACACAAGTGGGCAACTATTTTTCCCTTTATTTTTTTAATAGATTAACACAAAAAAAGTTTGTAGCTTAAAATTACAACAATTTTATAGTTGCCTAATGAAAAATAGATCATAGTTTGGATGGGAGGCCAGTCACCCGGGATTTTTTCTCTACAACTCGAGACAGTGCTTTGACATCTTCCTTTGAAATGTGACGAGGACGGCTCAGCCAGAGTCCTCCATCGACAATCATGGTATGTCCATTAACATATTTACCTTCACAAAGAAAGAATTAAGATGAGAAAATTGTTACGCCCAAAAGGAGAACCGTAATATGCCACGTGTTTCAAATTCGCAAAGATTATTCATTGCTAGAAGATAAGTGAAGGAAGCACTTCATAATGATATAGGAAATGTTGGTTTTATACTTTGCATCTGTTTCTAGGGGTAAATTGCACAAAACCCCACCCCTTCCCACAACAAACATCTATACCTTGAATTGCACTAGAAAACATCTATACCTTGAGATGTGCACTAAACCCTCCTCGCGTCATTTACTAGCACTTAGCCCACTTCAATTCGTGACAATGAGGATCTTATTTGCACCTTATCTTTTGGAAAATGGCATTACAAGGGTGCTAAGTGCTAGTGACTGAATTGAGGGAAGTTTAGTGCGACTCAAGGTATACAGACCAAAAGGAGGGGGAAGGTAACAGAAAAAAGGAACACTACAATAAGTTGGGGCATGTGCCTCATTTCCCTTCAAGGAGAGTGTCGGGTGTCACTAGTGTCAGACATGTCCACCTTCCAAGGGGAAATTTTTTGTTTCAAAAATGAAATAGTAAAGGGGCAAAAATATTTTTTGTCTTCAAAGAAGAAAAATTAGTTGAAACCAAAAATTCATTAAGTTTCAGGCAATAAAGTTTAAATTGCACATTTCTTGTTAAATATTAGACTTAGATAACACAACATGTAGTAGCAAATCCATGTTACAAGTAAACCATCCTGAACAGCTCAAAACATGAAGGACATATTGTGGTTTACATTAGTAAAAAAGCTTAGATACTAGATTTACCTAAAACTGACACCGTTTTACCTGTCTAGCCTAAAAACTGACACCGAAAACCCTCTGGCCTAAAAACTCATAAATACGGCGACAAATAGGCCTATCCGAATTAGAGATAGTTCTCAAGCAAAAAATTAATAGTTTTCTCATATAGACCCCTCAAATCTCCCATATTTTTCAGATTAAGCCCTCTCCCCGTCCCCACACTTTAAAATTTATAAAAAAAATTATCCCTTCCCACCATCTCCTCCCTATTCTTCCTATCATCTCCTCCATTCTCTTTTTCATATTCACAACTTTCCCTCCTCTCCCAACTCCTTCTCCCTCCTTACTCATATCCTCACTCTTACCTTCTTTATTCATCATCTCTCTTATCTTCTCCTCCCAATCTCCAACCTCCCTTTCTCTCTCTTATTCCCTCTCCGTGCTCATCTTCCTTTCTCCCACTCATTGTTCCTCTCTCCCATTCCCCCTCCCTCTTTGCTCTGCCCACTCCCAATCTCTAACATCAAATATTCTATAAAAAGGATCCAACATCCTCCTTTTCCTCTCTCAAACCCAACATCAAACATTCAGAGAAAAGTTAAAGAAAGTTACGGAGATGTGAGGTTGAAGAAAGAGGGAGAGGATGAGATAAGCTTGGAGATTTGGAAAAGAGGGGGAGAGAGTGGAAGAGAGGGGGGAAGGTTGAGGATGGGGAGGAGAAAAGAATGGAGAAGATGGTGAGAAGGAAGAGGGAGGAGATCGTGGGGAGGGAGAGAGGAGTTTTTTATAACTTTTGAAACTTGAAGGGGTAAATCCAAAAAGTATGAGAGATTGAAGGCCTATATGAAAAAATCTCTTAATTTTTTCCTTATAAACTAATGGCAAATTTAAGTATTTGGTCAGGCCTACTTGTCGCCATTTTTGTGAATTTTTAGGCTAGAGTGTCGTCGGTGTCGGTTTGTGAATTTTTAGGCTAGAGTGTCGTCCGTGTCGGTTTTCAGGCTAGAATGGGGAAATGGTGTCAGTTTTTAGGTCAAACTGGTATGTTAGCCCTATTAAAATTAATCTCTATAAGTTAAAGGTGTCAAAAAATACAAAGAAGTACCAACCTGCATCAGAAGCAAGATAGAGGGCAGCCATAGCAATATCCCATCTCTCTCCTACTCTGTAAAGAGGCATTTGCTCTCTTCTCTTCGCTAATACCTCATCTGGAACAAGTTTTCGAAGCCCAGGAGTACCTCCAATGGGTCCCGGTGCGATACCGTTGACCCTAATATTATAATCGGTTCCCCACTCAAGAGCCAGAGACCTGGTAATGCTATCAACTGCAGCCTGCACAGTTAAAATACGTCAGCTTATCTAAACAATATCTTTTAGATAATTAAATGGGTAAATTACAAGAAACCTCCTTAATCTATATCATGTTTTTTAAGATACGCCCTTATCCAAAAAGTTTGATAAAACAACCCTTCATCTAAAGAATCAACAAAAACTAATGATAAAAACATCCTTCATGGCTACAATGCAACGTTTAATTTTTGTAACGGAGATTGGTTTTTCAGATGTAGAGGTTGCTGTCTGTATTCTAGATTAATGATAAAAATATCTGACTTTTACTTTATCCAAGATTAATTTTTCTTTGTTTTCATTATTTCAACTACCAAAATCCATGTATTCTGAAGTGCGGGCATCCATCCAAGTGAAACATCTACCAAAATGTCTGAAGACTAAAATTTTGTGACAAAATTAACAGTCACAGACGACCCGGGGAGTCTCATTTAAATTTTTAGAAGCAGGGGTTTCTTGGTAAAATGGCTATAAATGAAAGGGGTTCCTTGTAATTTGTGCTAATTAATTATGTATTTATACCTTAGCAGCTGAGACGTGAATCTGATACCATGCTGCGGTATAATGCAAAGTAGCACTTATGTTCAATATAAGGCCGCCAGTAGATGGACCTATTCCTGCCGTTGCTTTTAGATATTTTAAAGCTTCATGACACATTGTATATGTGCCGATGGAATCAATCTCCATAACTGTAAAAGTCAAATACAATGGATATAACTGAATGATTAGTTGACAATGCTATTGGACTCAAAACCTTCAAACAAAAGTTACTTAGGTAATCAAAGAACTATAAAACCACAAAAAAGTAAGCCAGACCTGTTCGAAATCCATTAGGTGACAAATCCTCTGGAGATATGAGGAAATTGCCTGCTGCGCCATTGACAAGAATGTCAAGCTTCCCAAAGTGCTTGACTGTTGTTTCCAAAGCTCTAGCAGCATCTTCCTGTTTTCGAACATCACCTTCAAGACCAATAGCCTGCATGACATAATGAGAAGAAAAAAAGTATTGACAGGTATCAAGTTAGCATGGTGTATATCCCAAGAACCTTGTCATGTGTAATTTTATATGGAAGAAATGCAAGTACTTGTAGTTGTTAGATTTAAAATTATGTTACATTTTTTCTTGCCTGTAACAACACAACATGCACATTTGACTCTTCTTTCCGAGAGACAAGCCCTTCAAGTGGCTAGTTCAGCAAGCACAAAAAGACATCCTCGGTACAACTAATCAACCAATTTTGTAAACAGATTCAAACTTCCTCTACTATCAACTAGATTGTCACCACAAAATTTAGAGTTTGAGGGAGTTGTTTTATGTCTTTTATGGAGATAAAGCTCCAAGTCCTGATGGGTATCTTATATTTTTCTATCAACATTTATGGGTTTAATGGCGAACTGAGTTGCTTTACTTGAAGATTTCTATAGGGTCTGTCGTGATTTCGGAAGGATCACACATGCTTCAACTCCTTCATTCTTAGTGAAAGAGCTTACAAACTTGGGAAGTTATCATATTACCCTCCTCAACAGTTCCTATTAAAACCGTCACAAAGATCATTGCTAACCATCTCAAGTTCATCTCCTCATTCATCATACCAATACCACTTCGTCAACCATCACCATGTTCTTGAAAACATCGCTTATGCACAAAGATATTCTCGTAGCATTTCATTCTTCACCCCCGAGATAGTGTTTTCCTTAAGCTATGTTTTGGTTTGGCTCAATTGATTAGTTGAAACTTCCTAGTTGTGGGTCCCAAGATCAACTATGGCAAATCCCTTGTGCATGGATTCAGTCATGAAACTGCCCATTTTGAGGCTTGCATTCTCGGCTATCAGAGGGATTTCCACGACATTGGCAGAAATTATAATATCACTAACTAATTACACCCTTATATACATAATGAAATAGAGATCAAAGTATAAAAAACAAAGAAGCTAGAAAATTTATACATCTTGATCTAGTACAAAGTGACCAGAAATTTAGCATGCATGAAGCAGTCACTAATTGCACGAACACGTTAGTTCCATCAAACATTCACTCTAAAATTAACAGATAACTCCATCAATTACGTACTCAATCAAGCTGTCAAATTTAGAGATACCCATCTGATAAAACCTCAGAAACCAACCGCGAATCGCATAAAAATTCAATCTTGACAGGCAGTAAGCAAGAAATCGACCTGAATCCCCTTTGAACGGAGAACGGCGACGGCGTCATCTAGCACCTGGCGCCGGCGGCCCATGACAGCAACGGAGGCGCCATGGTTGCCGAATTGGGTTGAGATCTCGAACCCGATACCCGACCCGCCACCCGTTATGAGGGCTACTTTCCCTTTCAGTATGTTGGGCTTGAACGGAGACTCCACCATCCCCTCCCTCTCTCTCTCTCTCTCTCTCGAGATATTTTTGGTCTTATTAAGAAAAAGGATTTTTAATCACCAACATAACTGCATCATGATGGTAACTAATTATTAGAATACTTTTTGCATATATATCCCACAAATCTTCCGTATTTGTAAATTTAAAAATCATCTCAGCATTGCAAAGTTACCCCTGAATTCTCTCACATTGGATTATTCTACCCCTCCCACTTACAATGTTGAAAAGTTCCAGTGCTTTTCAACAATATTGCGGTATTTTCGTGTTTATAGATACTAAAACAGTTAAGTGGAAGGGGGCATGAAAGCTAAATGTGAGAGAAATGTGATACTTTTGACAATACCAAGATTTAGGGAGTAAATCAGCATATGTAGAAGATGAGGGGTGATATGCGAAAACCCCTAGAAGGTGTACCGCACCAACGACGCAGCAAGATGCCCGACGACAGTGTAGAGGAACGAATCGTCTCTTTGTTTCGTCATAATTATAATTTTAAAATTTGTTAGGAGGTCCAAAATTTAGGAATTTTCCTAGTTGTGGGTCCCAAGATCAACTACGGCAAATCCTTTGTGCATGGATTCAGTCATGAAACTGCCCATTTTGAGGCTTGCATTCAGGAACTTTCTCCGCATATTTTCTGGTATGTGGTCAAACGGAGAGTTATTCATTACCTTCATTGATCTCTCTCTAATCTATGACCCTCTCTGCATCGGATTTGGATCTTCTGCACTACAGAAAAGTAGCAGAAAGACCACTACTTTTAATCTTAATCGTTGATTATTTAGTAGGCGGTTATGATACAATCTAAATCTAACACTTATCATACATCCGTGTATTGCACTCATTCATAATTTGCACTAAAAGAAAAAATCATAATTATCAACTTGATAATCAATGATTGTGATTATGTAGTGGTCTCTCCACTATCTTTTTGTAGTGGAGAGGATCTGAATCCCTCTACATCACCTTCGAACTCCGCCGTTTCAAAAAATGCATCAAGAATGAAATACACTACTTCAATCATAGTTCCGAACTCTGCATGCATTTTGCATCACTATGGATTACGGTTATCTTAGACATAGTTACATAGAAGTTTCTATTAGAGTCGCGAATCGCTAAATTTTATCTTTTCTCATGAGCTAAATTTTATCCTCTATTTCGTTTTATATGGTGGAATAATGAAATGGAGTTTTTTTTTTTTTTTTGGTAAATAATAATGAAATGGAGTTGGCAAAGCAGCTTAGACATAAAATTGATTTTTTTTTAGAAAAATATAAATAAATAAGCTTAGTAACTAGGTAGGAAAAGAATCGGGCAGCCGGCCCCAAGGATTCCTCCTCTACTGAAAAAACAAGACATGTTGATGTGAAATATTCTTTTCAATATTTCTTCTTTGTAAAGAAAATGTTTGACTTTTAACTTAGTGCACTGACTCCCCTTGTTTATCATTGGATTTGGATCACCTTTAATTTAAAAAAAAATTTTTAAAAAAAACATTATTTTTGTGGATCGGCAACCCAGAAGCCCACTTCTACCAGCCTTGCTTTGATAAGCCCAAGATTGTAAGGCCTAGCAAATGTGGTCCACATACTATAGGATTTGTACGAGAAGAAATGATATTTCAATTTCTATTTTTCTTGCTCTGTTAGGTTACCAAAATAAATATGAAATAAAAGTGAGCAAGTTGAAAGTGTGAGGTGTATTTATTTATTATTATTTGGGTTGGTGGTGTTTTTTTCCTTTTTTTCTTGGTGGTTTTGCTTGGTTGTTTTTTTTTTGGGGGGAGGGGGGTTGATATTTCTATTTCTATTTTTCTTGATATATTTGGTTAAAAAAAAACCTAGTGTGAACACCGTGCAAAGCACGATAATTTTTTTCCACTATAATAATCCTGGTTTTTAAATGTTGCGGTATTTTTTTATTTTTTAAATTGCTACAGTATCCCACATTTGCTACAGTATTCATGTTTGCTACATCAATAATGCTAGAGTACAGTAAAATGTTACTCTAGCATTTACTATCGCATGAATAGTAAATCTTGGATTCTCTCATTTGTATAGAGGAGAAGATAAATACGAGAGAATAATGAGCAAGTTGGAGTTTGAGATCTATTTATTTATTTTTGTTTATTATTATCATTATTATTATTTGGTTTTTTTTTTTTGGGTGGGGGTTTTGGGGGAGGAGGTACGTTATTTGTCCTTAATTACCTTTGCAATCTATAGCTGCGTGGTTTAATCATATTTTGTTGTAGAGCTTCTTAGCCATTTAAATTTCTTTTCTTTGGCTCACGATCCGTCGAGATGGCGACGGAGTTGCTCACGCTTTAGCTAAACTTAGCTCGCTACTTTGATGAACCGTCTACATGGACGGAAAAAGAAGCCCCCGCATGTTGTGGCGGAGATCGTCAATAATGATGTTAAGTGGTTTAAATCAATAAAATTCTTATGTTTTTCCCATTTGAAAAAAAAAAAAAAAACTTTGACCAGTAGCAAACTCGTATAGTCCAAAATACCATCTGTAAGTTGTGTGTGGCCTTCTCATATATGGGCCCTACAACTTTTTCCCACTGCGAGAAGCCTACCTCAGAAAGCGACAAAAAATGCGCAATTGATCGGTCACCCCACCACATGGCGGAGGCCCATGGGCCGCCTATTGCCAAAAAAACGAATGACGTCTTCTCACTTCACTTGCCATGTTTAGGTTGCGAAAGGAAAATGTGGGAGAGAAATGATCAAGTTGAGTCTGGAGACGCATTTTTACCGGAGAGAGAGAGAGAGAGAGAGAGAGAGAGAGAGAGCGTGAAGACGGAAGAGAAGGAAAACACGCCGCTTATATTTTTCTTTGGTGACGATTTTGTTGTCCTTGGAAGAAATGATCAAATTTCTTTTGCGATCACGTTCTACTAATAGAAGGGAAGGGATTTTGTTTTCATTAAAGAGTTTCTCCCTTATTATGAAAAAGGACTAACCGTTGCGTTACCTCTGATAAGGTCTAGTTATTATCATACCATATCATATCATGCTTTCTTTAAAAAAATGTGAGTTTAGAAAAAACTTGGACCCTATTACACGTTACCGCCCTTAATTCCTATTGTTTCAGAAAACCACCCCTAATGAAATCCATTTCATTAATATAAAACCACTCGTGCCCCTTTTCACCCAATTTTCTATCCAAAAATTAATACCTTGATGGTCTTACCCCTAAAGTTTTAATATGTTAAATTTGGGTATCAAAATTAAATTTTGTACTTTTTTAACTTTGGTAATCAAAATTAAATTTTATTGAAACTTAGTATACCAATATCATATTTTGTTTTAACTTTTAGCAAAGTTAAAGTTGTTGAAGTTTGAGGCATTTTTTTAGCCCAAATAAGTGGTTTCAAATGAAAATTGATATAGGCTCTAAATTATTTTTGGGCAAAGAAACATTTTGTTCAAAGTTAAAATGAAAAATAATTTGTAATATTTAGCTCTAATATCCAAAGGTCAACAAATTTAAAAAACGCATAGAAGTAAAATTATCAAAATACAATATGTTGGACTGTGAATTGGATGGAAAAGTGTATAAGTGGTTCAATGTTAACAAAATGGTATGTATGAGTAATTTTCTGAAAATTGAGTGATTAAGGATGGTACCGTAAAATGGGGCCTAAGTTATGGGTAGTTCTCTAGAAATAACCATTTACTTATAAGAAAAAAAATCAAAAAATATTTAAAATTTTGACAATCTAAAATTCAGATTTGAAGCCTAAAATAAAAAAAATAAAACATTTTATCTTTTCATTCGTTCCTTTATATTTAAATTTTAAAATAAACACAAAGCCTAGATGATATTGTGAAGTATTCTCACCTACTAAAGTATCTTCATAATTAAGGAGATAAATGTCATGCATGAGTGACCAAGCTAGAAAATATCCAAAATCCATAGAATTTACACAACTTGTAGAAATATCCAGCAGCACAGCTCAAAGATTTTACAAGAAAAACAAACTTATAAATTAGTAGAAATACCCAAAAGAGTTTAAGAAATTATATATTCTAGACTGAAATGCAAAACACTTTAAAAAATTAAAAGCTTTTATAGAAAAATTCTTGATTTTATAAAATATTTAGAAATTAAAGATTTTAAAATTTTGCACAGAAATCCAAAATAATTCCATACATTTCAAATTATCCTATTTAATAGAAATATCTTTAGCATGATTTCATTGTGATCATGCTAATTAATTAAAATATTTTTAATAAGATATGAGTTATACATAACTTTTCAATCCCCACATTCAACCGCTTCTGAAAAAATATTACAAAATAATTTTTTTCATAACTTAGCAAGCTTTTTACTAGAGAAAATATATGAAGATTTATAATTTCTTTGAAGATTTAAATTTGGTATCTTTATCATTAGTTTATATTTAAATTTACAAATAAAGATAAAAATAATTAAATAATATATAAAACATCATCAATCTTAATTAAATTCATAATTAGGAGATAAATTTTAATTATGTGTGATTTACCAAGCTAAAAAATATTCAAAAACTAATAACTTACTCAACTCATGGAAATACTAAAAAAACTCCCATAATTTTAAGTTTTTTTGGTATAACTAACTCACAAAATTAGTAGAAATATAAAAAAGACTTTTAAAATTTATATATTTTGTGAAAAAGTTAATAGAACTTATTAAAATTGAAAAGCCTTGAAAAAAATATTGAAAATGTTGTAAAAAATCTCTAGAGTTTATAAAAGTTTACAAAAAAAATCTAGAATTACATAGAAAATCCCCTAATTTAATAAAACACCTGAAACTTGAAAAAAGTACCTAACATTTTATTAAATTATAAAAAATTAATCATGGAGCTTCACAAAATTTGGTGAAGTAGAGTCACTCTGAATGGTAAGAAAATATCATGAAACTTGATGAAACAAGTTCAAGAAATATTAGAATTTAGAACTCATTTATGATCGTCATCAGCATAATAACTTTTGCAAACATGTATTCCATTTACATGTATTATAATAAGTCCTCAGTTGCCATTTATTCATAAATTATATGAAATAATAAATATACTAATACATATATATAGGTATCACTTAATTCAAACAAATTACTGAGGCGATGGCTGCAATAACAACTACAAGTCGATCAACCATTCACTAACCCTGATTCGCATATATAGATTCGATAAATTGTTTCTACTCATTTTATTCTTAAATTACTTAGCATTATATGTAAACACTCAAAAAGACTTTATAATATTTTATATTAAATTCAGTTTCTTTCTTTTTAATAAACTTTCTCATTTTTTCTAGTCAGAATACAAACTCAACCTGTAAAATAGTTATGTCCACAACGTAGTTATAGTGAAGGTATAAACTTAGTCAAAATATTTGACCATGTGCAAAGCATATGCATCCCACCTGATGCATTGAAAAGAAGAGAGTTGTAATTATCATGCATCGATCTTATTATGAATCATTTTGCTTGTAAATTCTACATGTTTACTGCCAAAGGGCTCTGTTGATAAACCAAAAATCTTGAAGTTACGATAATGATTGAGAGTTATAGTTTATATCTTAACATCCTCTAAGATAAGTTGAACGACTTTTTTACATGCCAAAATGTAGACTAAACCAGCTTGATATCTTATTCGAACTTCTTAACTAGGTAGGTACTATGGGGTACAAGGTAGCA